AGAGAGAGAGAGAGAGAGAGAGAGAGAGAGAGAGAGAGAGAGAGAGAGAGAGAGAGAGAGAGAGAGAGAGAGAGAGAGAGAGCTGACACGTGGCAGGAAATCAGGACGATGGGGAGGAGGAGGAGGAAGAAGAAGAAGAAGATGAAAGGAGGGGGAGGAGGAGGAGACAAGAAGGCGAACGGAGGAGGACGAGGTTGAGGAGGAGGGCATGCCGAATATGTATGGCAATGACGAGAAAAAAAAAAGAAAAAAGACGAGGAAGGAGGACGGGAGAGAGAGAGAGAGAGATCCGGCCGACACGTGGCAGGAAATGGGGACGAGGAGAAGGAGGAGGAGGAGGAGGAGGAGGAGGAGGAGGAGGAGGAAGAAGAAGAAAGAGAGAAAGGAGGGGGAGGAGGAGGAAACAAGAAGAAGGCGAACGGAGGAGGTTGAGGAGGATGGCCTGCCGGCTTTGTATGGCGATGATGAGGGATTTTGCGCCTGCGCCAGCTCATCAAAACTTTGTGCATGGCAGGAAATTGGTATCTGAAACACGAAGCTCGGACTTACAGGTGGCAAAGGACAATCCCCTGCCCAGATGTGCTCCAACAGATATAACAGAATCATGTGCATAGTTCAGGAGTATTCTGTCCAGATATTAAACTGGCCCGGTCCTCTGCCAAGATAGTAATGACTACAGATCATACTCGCAACTGCACAAGCTGGACAGTCTTGTGGAGTTCCGTGCGGGGGGTGCCTGTGCGGAATCATGCAGGTTTATTATTATTATTATTATTATTATTATTATTATTATTATTATTATTATTATTATTATTATGTTTTTTGGAGGCGGTACAGGGGGGGGTATGACAGGTTGATGGGCATATGGCGAGGAGGAGGAGACATGGGTGGCGAGGAAGGGGAGGACACGAGGAGGGTAAGGAGACGAGGAGGCATGGGAGATGAGGAAGTACGAGGAGGAGGAGACGAGGAGGATGAAGAAGGGCAGGAGGATGCACGAGAGGAAGAGGACGAGTCGGAGGAGACAAAAAAGAGAAGGGAGGAGAAGACATGGAGGACGAGGAAGGGGTGGAGGAGCAAGGTGAGGCAGCACTCTTTCAAAAAAAAATATCATCCCGCTTATAATTTTGGCCGGGGGGCTCAAACGCACCGTTTCGACCCCCGGCCTTCTTTTTTTTTTTTCAGATGGGGGTGACGGGCCGTTCCCTGCACACGTCGTGCGCCGCACGGGATTGGTTGGGCACGTGCGCCGCACATCGGGAACCGCTCGCACGAGGTGCACTTGCAAGTATGTGACAGATATAAGTTATATAACAGAATGCCCTGTCCTCTCTTCAAACGTGGCCCAGTCCTCGAGCATGGATCGCATATTAAACTGATCAGAATGGATTCCACACTTCATCTATTTTTAGCTAAACGGGCGAGGAAGGTATAAGGAGAGTATTCTGTCCAGAATCCAGATGTGTGTTAGTGACATGGATGCCTTGGTTGTTTTCTCTTGGGGACCTTTGACTCCCTCTCTCACTGTTGGCCATGAAACCGACCAAAGTGACCACGAAGGTGCTGCACAGGATGGTATAACCCCTTCAGCTGGACACGTTCCGCAAAACTGCAGCGAAAATTCTGCGAAACGCGATTTCCCAGGATCTTACTGCCTTGTGCTAACATGTGTATCCATCGCACTGATTAAGTGAGCAGCAGCCAGTGATTTGGGTTGCATTTAAGTGCCTCGGAGTTGGGTGGGCATCGGGTGATATGCTCTCCCAGCAGTGCTATGCCTACCGTATTCACTATCGGCGACGTAGTGAAACTTGTTATTTGTTTAATCCAAGGATTTCACATCGGACAATGGAATATGAATGCGCCCAACCATGTCTATTAATCAATACTCCCATCTCGAAGTCCAACGAAACAGGACCAGAGTCCTATCGTGTTATTCGATGCACCAATGTCCAGACCCTTCAGAGCACAGTGATGATTTCACCTCTGACAATGGAATATGAATGTGCCCAACTATCTCTATTAATCAATACTCCCATCTCGAAGTCCAACGAAGCAGGACCAGAGTCCTATCGTGTTATTCCATGCATTAATGTCCAGACTCTTCAAAGCACAGTGACGTAGTGAAAGTCTACTTCACTGATGATTGATTGTAGAAAAGACAACCCGTAGTGTCGCTTCTGGAATCGAGGCGTGTGCAATCTCTTTGGTTTGGGGCAAAGTCTTGCGGAGTTTGTCATTGATTGCTATCTGAGAGGGCATGAAATGCTTGCTCTTTCTCTCTCTCTCTCTCATTTGTGGATGGAATCTGTGTGTGTGTGTGTGTGTGTGTGTGTGTGTGTGTGTGTGTGTGTGTGTGTGTGTGTGTGTGTGTGTGTGTCCTACTAGGTCTCATCTGTCTGTCATGACTCTCTGAGGATCGGCTCTACGTACAGTAATAGGCAACAGTCAGGCAGTGGACAGCAGCCAGTATCCAATCAGACAGGATGATTAATAAGCTTGGGCAGCAGGGTCAACATGTGGAAAGCTCTTCAGAATCTTGTTATTCTTCTTGAGCTTTGTGTGACTTGTTTTGAGAATTAGCTTTCACGATGACAGCATTGTACCTTGATGACATGCGGTCATGTATTATTCCCCCGAATGAGGAAGTGCGATCTCTGTAGGCCCCCTTCCCCCCGTCCCTCCCTCCCTCCCTCC